TTTACTGTGTATGACGTTTACTACCCTTATTTATTTAGTATTGTTACACATGTAACACATTTATTACATCATATCACCTAGATTATATTTGCATATGGATTATACATTATACTGAGACCCAGGACTTTCACGCAGAAGGAAAAAAAATGTGTCAAAGTTGGCTTCATACTCCACGAATAAGTTTTTGGCCATGCTGGGATTTCAACTCATGGCCTACAATGCCCAATCTATAAATGGGGGTAACAGTCTTAGCACACCAGCCTCCAGAAAACTGAGCTGCCAGGAAGTTCTGAAGACCTTCGATCAAGCCACAGTAGTGCCCAATATATACATTGATAGATATGTATATGTATATGTGTGTGTGTGTGTGTGTGTGTGTATATATATATATATACTGAAAGAGAGGGAATGTGAGGATATTAAATTATATATATATAATTACCAATTATTAGTTATTACATTATGCCACCATTTAATGAAGTATCATGGTTGGATACTTATACAAGCATTAATTAAAAATTAGTCAATATCCTTCAATTAGGGAAATCATACCATAGTGCTAGAATGGAAGATATAAATCCAATAATATTTGTGTGGCATTCTAAAATAGAATCATGAATTAACTGCAAATTTAATTATTATTTCATTAACATTCACACAAATAGGAATGAGTTTGTCAGGATCTCCCTCCATTTGTGGGTGACAGTCCTAGCAATCAAACTCCAGGGTAGTTTACTTCAAATGCAAACCATTGGAATGACACGGTGAAGATTTCAGATTGTCATGGTTAAAAAAAGAATAAGAAAAGAAAGCTAGGTGTCAATGGCTCCTGCCTGTAATCCTAGCTCCTCAGGAGGCTGAGATGTAGAGAATGCCAATTTGAATTCAGCCAGGGCAGGAAAGTAGGTGACATTTATTTCTAAGAGATCACAGGAAAAAAACAAAAACAAAAACAAAAACAAAAAAAATATGAGTGGGATCGTGACTCAAGTTGCAGAGTACTGCCCTTGAGCAAAAGGAGCTCAGGGACAGGGCCTAGGTTCATAGTTCAAGCCCAGACCTGGCCCCCCTCCAAAAAAAAAAGGCAGCAGTAACTCCATGTCTCTGTTTATGGATGGATGATATATGAATGATGGGCATTCAGCAGGTTGTCCATGCTCGGCCCACCCAAGCTGGGCAAGCTGGGACAAGCCCTCAGAGTTCCTAGGCTGTAGGAGTGGTCGAAGGTTCTGGATCCATATTCTCTATCCCTCCGTAGTGTGTGAGCCTAGACCTCTGGGGCCTGGTGGCTCTCACTCATTCATCATTCCTCGTTGCCTAGTCACAGACTGGTCCCAAATCTCGGCAAAGATATGACATAGTCAGCGATTTCTATGCTGAATGGGGTAAGCCAATAAATCCCACCCTCATAACTCCTGTTACAATTCAGCCTTGGGCTGCGAATGTGGCTTAGCGGTAGAGTGCTTACCTAGCACGCACAAAGCCTTGGGTTCTATTCCTCAGTACCATGGAAACAGAGAAAGCCAAAAGTGGCACTGTGGCTAGCCTTGAGCAAAAGAAGCTCAGGAGCAATCCCAGACCCTGAGTTCAAGCCCCAAGACTGGCAAAAAAAAAAAAAAAGTGAGCCTGGTGAGACATATATTCTTCTGGGACTCAAGTGGTAGAGTGCTAGCCTTGAATGAAAAAAACTGAGGGACAGAGCCCAGGACCTGAGTTCAAGCCCTAGTACCAAGATGCACCCACACACACAGGAAGGTGGTAATGATGAGCTGAGCCAGAACTGGGGGCAGTCCTGAGGCATAGTCATAGTAAACTCTCAAGCCAGATCATGTGGTTTCTCCCTAAGTCCTTCTTGGGCTGAGGGGTCTGGGCCATGGTAGTAAGTTCCAGGGAACCTGCCCCTCCATCCATGCATGGGGCCACAGGACCTAGGGAAAGAACACTACGGATGCGCCTTTGTAGTTGGCCCATGATTGCAGACCTTCATTTGCCCCCAAGCACTGGTGAGGTAAAAAGGGCTCTGAGCCCTGGGACTCCACGTGCTGCTAGAAGCAGCAGCCAGCCAGCTGTGGATTTGTGAGCACACAAGTTTTTCATGAGCCCAACTCAACACCCACCCGAGGTGTGCCTGACAGATTTACACTCTTGTGATCCTTAGATGAGTGGGCATTACCTACCCTGCCATCTTGCAGCTTCTGCCCCTCCTTGCCCAGATCTCAGCCTCCTGAGTAGCTAGGAATATGAGAGCTTGAGCTATCACTATCCTTCTTGGCTAAAACCAGAGTACCTCTCTACCAGCCTAGCACCCATCTACAGTTACCCCTCCTACTCCACCCCTACTCCTCCAGGCTTCAGAGGGATCATACCCTTCCCTGAGGACAAAGAAATATGATCAGGTTTGAGCTTTATGTTCTCCACATAGTCAGGGGCTTCTGGGAGCTGAAGTGTACTGTAGTTCAAGTGGTAGAGCACCAATCTTATGTAACCAAGCTAAAGAATACCACCTAGGCTTTGAGTTCAAACCCCGGTAAATTCACAAACACAAACACAAACACACACACACACACACACACACACACACACACACACACACACACACAAAGCACACACAAAGCACACACAAAAACATCCTTAACAGATCCCAATGGCTTATACCAGCAATCCTAGCTACATAAGAAGCCAGCCCAGGCAGGAAAGTCCGTGAGACTCATCTCTCCACTAAACTACTAAAAAAGATGAAAGGTGAGCTGTGGTTCAAGTGGTAGAGTGTTAGCTTTGAGCAATGGAAGCTCAGGGACAGTGCCTAGGCCCTGAGTTCCAGCTCTAAGATTTTTTTAAGACACCCTTTGCCACCACTCCACCCCCAATTAGGCCATAAATCCAGATTTTGGTCACCCTGGATCTCACTCCTGCCACTTTCACAGCACTGCCACAAGTGGCCGGTGTGGGGCCAGCACTGGATTAAGAAATGAACGTACAACAAGGGGAGCATAGCCAGGTCAAGGCTAATGCCCCAGAACATTGAGGTATTGGCCATACTGGTCTCTCATCTCCCAGTTGCCTGGACTTAGAATCTAAAGTGTGTGCATCTGTATTCTGGGCATCCAAATTGTCTAGAAGGGCCTGAGCGGCCAAGCTGGGGCGGGGGGTGAGATAGACTTTCCTGCGACAAGGTATGTTGACATTTCCTAGACACTGACGGATATTTCCAAGCCACCTTGGCCTCACCACACATGTAGCCCCGGATCCTCCTTGCTTGAGCGGCCTTTGGTCAGCAATCAAGCTCGAGCTGTCCAGAGCCACCAGAAAACTTCCATCCCCCACTCCACTGCCAGCGTGCAGGGAGGGACGTGCAGCCAGAGACCTAGCTAAGGAAAAGGACAGGACATCGCATGACTGAGGCCCCCCAGAGGCATGGGAGACCCTATGCTAGCTGGCCATGCTGACCCAGAATCCAGAATCCCCTGGAGGCGCCCAAAGATTTGGACAGGCCGGACTTGGGCCCCAAAGAAAAACTGGAATGCAGGCCTCTGGCAATTTAAGACTCATTGTAGACCCTGACAGGGTGCTAAAGGGCAAGGTCAGTGTGGAGGAGGGGCACCATCCAAGGTCAGAAAGAAGCAGACAGGCACCCAGGGAGGAGACAGAGAGAGATGAAGGACACATCATGTTTACACACACACACACACACACACACACACACACACACACACACGGTAGCCCAAGGCCTCAGCAGTCCCTGAGCACCCTGAACATCCCACACCCAAGAAGATGGCACTACCATTCTCAGACCAAGTGTAGACAAAACTCAGGACATCTCACACATCTGGAATGGCTCATAACACATCTTGGCATTTCCTAAATGTACATACAACTATGCAGAAAACTCAGCTACTTTATTTTTGGGTTTCAGTCATGGGGTTTGAACTCTGGGCCTGCACGCAATCCCTTAGCTCTTGAGCTGAAGGTGGGCGCTCTACCACTGAAGCCACAGTACCACTTCTGGCTTTCTAGTTGTTCACTGGAGATAAAGTCTCACCGATTTTCCTGCCCAAGCTGGCTTTGAACCGCGATCCTCAGATCTCAGCCTCCTGAGTAGCTAGGATGACAGTTGTGAGCCACCGGCAACAATCGGCTTCAGCCACCTTCTAATACCAAGGGAAAACCCAACTCATCAAGACACAAACCACATGTAACCCTACACTTCAGACTTTGTCACCAGCATCCAAAACCATTCTTCCATGAGTGGAGAGCATATAATTGACACTGCCATCCCACCCTTGCTCCCATTCACCCACTCCCTGCCTACCACAGGCCACGACCTCTGGAGTTCTTGGTAAGGCATCACCCACCCTGTTATGGCTTCATACTGGGGCAAAGCCGGGGAGGCCAGCATCTGGTCTCCCAACCATAGCAACCATACTGCTTCAAAATCTCTTGCAAGCAAGGAAGGGATGCCTTTCTTTCTTTCCTGGTTTTTTTTTTTTTCTTTTTTGTTTTATTTTTCTTCTTTTTTTGTTGAGGGGCTTGAACTCAGGGCTTGGGTACTGTCCCTGATGTCGATTTTTCTTCAAGGCCAGTGCTCTACCACTTGAGCCACAGTGCCACTTCCAGTTGGATTGGAGATGAGCCTCTCGTGGTACTATCCTGCCTGGGCTGGGAAATGAGATCCTCTGGATCTCAGCCTCCCGAGTGGCCAGGATGACAGGTGTGGGATGAGAGGGGTGAGCGACTGGCTTAAGGTGTCTAGTCCTTCAGAATTTCCACCTAGTCCTCCTCTAGAAGCTACCACGTAGACACCCCTCTACCTCCCTCAGTGACAGCAAAGGGAGGCTCAGAATCTGAGTGGGGCCATGGGGATTAAAGGGCCCCCTCCACATCACTAGCCCTCTCTAAGCTCCCATCTGCCTCCTCCTGATTGCCTGGTCTTCCAGGGCAGATCAGACCCACAAGGAGTTCTGGGGCCTGCCCTATATCCTCCTGCCCCACCCAACCGATACCTGAGGATTTCTGGGTCCAGCTGCTCCATATCCCGGTGGAAGACGTTGGGAGGGTTGCTGATAACTGGATCCACGGGTGCCCACGGCAAAAGGAGTGTCCAGCTCCCCTCTGTCAAAGGAGACACAAAGCACGAATGGATCTACTGAGAGCTTCAGGGCACAGCCATCCACCTGTCACCAAGGTCCCTGGGAGAACTGTTTTGTGGTGACAGCCCTGGGGCCTGACATTGGGACCCCGACGCTGTCCCCGACTTTCTTTGTCTCCAGGGGAGGGCTCTTTCACCTGAGCCACAGTGCCACTTCCAGCTTTTTCTGTGTATGCAGGACCTAGGAATCCAACCTGTGCTTTCCTGCGAGCTTGATGAGCCCTTTACCTCTAAGACACAATTCCAGCCCTGGATAGCTGTTCTTCTATGACCCCTCAGACCTGTCTCAGGACAGTCTCGCACATCTATACCAAGTCGCACATCTATACTGAGTCTCTCACCAGCAGCCCTGGCTGGAAATGAACATGCTCTGATGTGTTGTCCATCATATTCAGCACCTTTGCTCTCTGTGCTTCCTGTCAGATCCTCAATCTTAAGCAAGACCCCCTTTTCAAGTGCTGCCTCCAAGAAGACCATTCCGATCACCTTGGCAGAGCTGGAGCCTCTCCTCTCTGCAGTCTTCCAGCCTTGAAAGGCTCTGCCTTCCAGCCAATGTGGGTTGACAGTGCACAAAGGGAAAGGCCTGGATTCCATCACTGGAGGATCACTGAGGATCTGGGAGCTGTCTTTCTGAGTTTTATTGTTCAAGGCTGGTGCTCTACCACTTGAGCCACAGCTCCACTTCTAGCTTTTCAGTGGTTCCATGGAGAGTAGAATCTCACGGACTTTCCAGCTTATGGCTGGCTTCAAGCTGTGATCCTCAGATCTCAGCCTCCGGAGTAGCCAGGATGACAGGCATGAGCCTGAGCCTGAGGTGATGGGCACCAAAGGCTTTTATTTTTTTTTTGCTCCTGTTTATCTCCTGTCAACTAGCAAGCCCAATTTAAAATAATCATTACAGGGAATCAAAATTCTCTCTTAGGTCAGTTAATCCAAGGAGATAATGTGTCTTTGGAAAAGGCTAGTCTGAGTTGACTTAGGGGTGTTTGTGTGTTCGTATGTGTGTGTGTGTGTGTGTGTGTGTGTGTGTGTGTGTGTGTGTGTGTAAAAGTGTCCAGGATACCTACTCTCATCTCTGCGGTGCCTCATTGTCCCAGCAGGGAGTGCATCCAGGATCCTAACCCCAAGGAAGGTGGGGGAGGGGAGGGTACCAAAGGTCACATCCAGGGGGATGATCCGAATTCTGTCCTGCAGCCTAAGCCTGGACAGATAATGGAGAGAAGGAGAGGTTTAGGGGAACATCTAGGGCAGCCCCTTACCATTGGCTACAAGTACCAGCAGAAGACTGTATCCATCTTTCTTGGTAGTCAGATAAAATGTGTACATTGTTCATTTATTTTATGATTGTGTCCTAGGACTTGGATTCAAGGCCTGGGTGTTATCCCTGAGCTTCTTTTGTTCAAGGCTGAGGCTCTACCACTTGAGCCATAGCACATCTGGCTTATGTGTGGGTTTGGGGAGGGATGTGAGTTATGGGAGATAAGAATCTCCTGGACTTTTCTGCCCGGGCTGCTCTGAGTCACAATCATCAAACCTCAGCCTCCCAAAGAGCCAGGGTGATGGGTGGGAGCCATGAGCTCCTGACTGCCACCATCCATTCATAATCCCTTAGGCCCAGCGCCGGGCCACCCACAGTACACCTACTTGTTGGGAGTAGGAAGCAGACATGAGTGGGTTTGATACTTCAACAGCCTACCTATCTTTGAGCATTGTTCTGGGTCAGTCTGATGGAGGCTTCGTTCTTATCCACAGCAATGACTTGGCTCTGTCACAAGAACAAATGTCCCCTGGAAGGTGTCAGGTCTGGAGTCTTTCCTCTGAACCCCACCCCCCTAACCAAAATGACACTCCCCAGCAAAGGGTAGTACACACAGAGTGTTTTTATTGTCTTATAGCCAGGGTCTTGTCAGATAGGTGGGGGTATAGGTCAGAGGCCCAGGATTGTGCTGGGCAGGGGGAAAAGGCGACACCTTCTCATCCACTTTCCTTCAATGGTGTAGCAGAGGGATGTGGGGAAGGACACATGGGATGGACAATGAATAACCGTCACAGTCTAGCCAGGGCACAGAGGGGCTTACCTCATGAAGCTGCTTCAACAGGCTGAGCAAAACAACTCCTGACCCACAGCCCACCTTCAGAATGAGAGGGCCACCTTGGGTTCCAGCCACATGGGGATGCTGGGCTACCTCCTCCAGCACCCATTCAACCAGTTCCTGAGAGAGAGAAAGAGAGAGTGAGAGAGAAAGAGAAGGAGAGGGAGAGCGAGGGGGGAAGAGAAAGGGAGAGGGAGAGGGAGAGAGAGAGAGAGAGAAGACCAGAATTACACTTAAGCCAGGTGCCGGTGGCTCAGGCCTATAATCCTAACTACACAGGAGGCTGAGATGTGAAGATCATGGCTCATAGCTGGCCCTGGCAGGAAGATATGTGAGACTCTTATCCTCAAAGAACCAACAGAAAACCGGAAGTGATGTGGTGGCTCATGTGGTAGAGTGCTAGCCTTGATCTGAGGAGCTCAGGGACAGTATCCAGATCCAGAATTCAAACCCCACAAATGACAAGAAGTGGACTTCCCACCACAAGAAGTGGACTGAATAACACCCACTGTCCTAGGAAGCATGTCAGAGAAATCTGGCCGAGCTTCCTGTCAGCTGGGGGTCATGAGTAGTTCACGTGGCTTCACCATGACTCATTTTCCCCAGCTGCAAGACTGTATACAGTGAAGGATCCCCTTCCTCATGGGAATAGGGTAATGATGAAAGACAGACATGTTTTGTTTCATATTCCCACACCTGTTGCACTATTAATAACAGACCCCATCTGAGCCCTTTCTGTTAACTTCCTGTCATATAATCACAGAATTATTGAGAACTGTATCTGACACCTGCTCCCTCTGTGCCTGGCACTGCTCCAAAGATCCCTCTGTATTAGTCCCTTATTTCCTCACAACTGTCCCATGAGGAGACTGAGGTTCGATTGTCGACATCCAACCCAGAGCTTCACCTGTAGTGAAGAATCCGCTGCTGTGAACTAAGAGTTTGGGACAATCCATCTAAAATGATGACAGAGCAGGCGCTAAATGTCTACCACACCCCCCCCCCACACACACACATACACACAAACACACCTCCACCGTCCTTTGCAGGCAAAGATGTTTTACTTTCTTTCTTTTTGTTGGTTGTGGGGCTTGAACTCTGGGCCTGGGTGCTATCCCTGAGCTCTTCAGCTCAAGTCCAGCACTGTACTACTTGAGCCACAGCACAACTTCCAGTTTCCTGGTGCTTTATTGGAGAGAAGAGTCTGAGGGTCTTTCCTGCCCAAGCTGGTTTTGAAACCTGATCCTAAGATTCAGCTCCTGAGTATTTAGGATGACAGCCATGAGCCATTGGCACCTGGCCAAAGGTGCTTTTCCATGCCTGTCATACTATCCCCTCAGGAAACTGAGATCTGACGACTGCAATTGAATGCCACTCTTGGCAACAAAGTCATTGAGAACTCTTATCTCCAATTAAACACCCAAAAACATTGCAAGTTGAGCTATGGCTCAAATGGCAGAGTGCTAGCTTTGAGCATGAAAAAAGGGATCGGACCCAGGCCCTAGTTTTAAGCTTTTTCTAGCATAGACCCACCCAAAAAAGGGAAGCAGGTGAGCACACGGGAGCTCAAAGCTCACACATAATACTCAAGAATAACAGAATAGACCCCATCCTGCTCTGAGTCTCTACATTCTATGTCCTAGGTCATGGCAGTCTTAGATGGGACTGACCATGCACCAAGTCAGGACATTCAAGTACAATCTCATACTGAGAATCCCGTGATCTCATCAAGGACTCAAGATCTCTCACTGTCCTGCCTTGACACTGGGCAGTCAGGTGAGATCTAGTTATACAACCAAAGGATATGAGAATGAGTGAATTTCTCAGCCAAGGGATGCAGACTGGAGGGCTCTCGGTGCCTCTCTCTTGGGAAGGAGAAAAGGGCTGATCCATCTCAGTAATATTCCTGTGTTTGTGTATCCTCAAAGAAACAACCCTGCTCAGAGCCCAGTGCCTCTGGTTTTCTCACCAGCCTCGACCTTCAGTCTGCCCTCTCTAAATCCCACATCTGCCATCTAGACTAAAGGCTGAGCCAGCAAGGAGACCCACCTTTACCTCTGAGAATGGCAGTCACGGGGTCCTAGAGTCCCCTAGAGGAAGTCTGGGAGCAACACGGGTCTGACTCCTGCCATCATTCCCAGGCTGTCTTACCTCTGTCTCTACTCGAGGAATGAACACTGGGGGTGTAATCTTCAGATTGAGCCAGCAAAAGTTCCAGTACCCAAGGATGTACTGCACAGGCATCCTGCAGTGGACGACAGCGAGGTCGTCAATGGTGAACCCAAAGTGCCAGGACTTTTAATGGCCATGTGTCTGGGTCAAAGGCTCTATCACTGATGGTCTAGGTTGTCAGGTGAGGTCATGGCTTCAATGGCCTGACACACCTGATCTGGGATCATCCTCCCTCTTCATCTTCCTGCTTATCCCTTGCCACCCCCCTCTGGACACTCCCTCTCCCTATCCTCCCTAGCCTTTGGACACTTTCTTCTTATCTGACCAGAAAATAAACTCGGTGAGCCAGGGGACATTGAAACTCCATGACCCACCCTGAGCCCTAGGGTCTACCCGAGGCTGTTTCCCTCTGAAGTTGGCGACCACTCAGATCCTGGATGTCATGAAGTTGCTGAGGGGACAGTGGCTTGCTCCTACGTATTGTCTTTAGGCTCTGAAACTGTCCCCACAGAGATTGTGAATGGTTGGCTCCCTTGATCCAGGAACTCCAAACCAAGGCCTGCATGATCCCTTCTTCCTTCCTTTCCTCCTTTTCTCCCTCCATCCTTCCCTCCTCTCTTTCTCTTTCCTCTCCTTGTGTCACTCCTAGGCCTTAAAATCATAGACTGGGTGCTGTCTCTGAGCCTTTTTACTCAAGGCCAACAGTCTATGGCTTGAGCCACTCATCCACTTTTTTTTGGTAGTTAGTTGTAGATAAGAGTCTTATAGGCTTTCCTTCATGGGCCTTAAGCCTCAATCCTCCCATCTCAGCCTCCTAAGTAGCTAGGATGACAGGAGTGAAGCAATGGTATCCAGCTCAAACCAAGATTTCTTCATGTGCTGTGGAACCAGCACTGGAACCTTTCATCGTGTATGACCCTCCCCTTTCCCCCTGGGCTTGACACAAACTGTAATGGTTTATTGGATAAATAAATGAGCATCTGTCTATGACAATACTACAGAAAAGTCCCATCTAATTCAGGTAAGCATCCTGGGTGGGGGCAAAGCCTGATGTAGTTCTCCCACAGTTCTCCCTCCTCCCTCTTCCCACCCTCCTGGACCCACCGCACTTAACTGTTTTGGTTGCAAGGATGTGAGCCATGGTGTACTCACTGGATTCCAGGGCCTCTGGGAAGCCTATCTTCTCAAAAACTGCTGTCCAGCCACTAACCAGCTCTGTGGCACTCCATTCCCCACTCAGGTGTGAACAAGGTTGCTGTGAGGTGAACGCCAGGCTCATGGGGCCTTCTCTCCACTCCCTGGGACAGACAGGATGGTCCACTATATCTGGCCCCCAAGTTTCATGTTGCAGAGAAAGGATCCTTGAGGCATCCCGGGTCTCTGAATCTCCCAGATTCCAGTGCAGGTGCTGGGAATTGTTTCTGCTCACAGCTGGCAGGCTGCGGATGGCGAGGTCACAATCTCTGCTCCCCAAGACATTCTCAACTGTGGTGGTCACCCTAGAGAGAGCCGGAGGAGAATCAGCAGCTGCCAGAGAAAGGCAGTCAAGGCACGACGTTCGTAGTAGGAAACGATCTGGCTAGGGAACTCTGCCTGTGCCGCTTTGAACGTCATTGTTTGGTGGCTGAAATGGTCCATCTAATTTGACCCAGAATCCCAGACGTTAGTAGAAATTGCCAGCTTCAAGAAAAAACCTTGTAAAAGCTGGCATTTCACTTGTCCCACTCAAACTTAATGGGTTCCAAAATCAGTAGTTCCCTTTTCCTTCCAGACAGCCTACAGCAGGTTACAGAAAATGGCATTCAGAGAGCCTCAGGTAACTGCCATATCCTGATCCCAAGCAGGCTCTAGCAGGCGGAACACATTTGCCTACCATTGTCCAGCTGGAAACAGCCCAAGAGGGACACAGATTGGAGTCTGCAGGACTCCAGGGAGGACTGCCCACCAGTGCACTGCCCTGGGAGGAAATCCATGGCAACATTGGGGGCAGGGAGCCCCCTGCTCAGATGCCCATGGACACCGTCAATGCCCTGGGTAAGATTCCCCTCTCATCCTCGGTCATGGTGAACCATCTGCCATGTCACACCGTTCATCACTTCCCAGACCCTCCTAGCTTCACAGCCCCTGCCCTACACACCCTATCTCCTTCCCTAATTATGTTTGGCAGACACATTCCCAACTTTGAATTAGCTCCAACTATACACATGAGAACAGAATGTCTGGCTGGAAGATTGCGGCTGTGGTCACAGTAGCCTCATGAGCCTTCTGGCTAAAGACAGAAGGGCAGGTATCCACGCTGGTCTGCGGTGCACACAGGCCTCCTAGGTGAGACCTACGCAGGCCCAGCAGTTACTGCGGGCTGCAGGAAAGGGGGAGAAAATGATGGGAAGGAAGATGTAATGAAACCTTCTCTAAAGGAGCCATGACACTGTGAAAGAGAAAACAAAAATTGTGGCTGGGCTCATACTGGACATTAACGAAAAAAGAACAACAAATACGTGCACACAAATAAAATGGTTTGCTCATGCTAGGAAGGTGGCTCAGTGGTAAAGCACTTTCCTTGCATGCACGAGGCCCTGGGTTTGATTCCTCAGCACCATGTAAACAAAAACAAAAAAGTCAGAAGTGGCGCTGTGGCTCAAGTGCTAGAGTGCTAGCCTTGAGCTGAGGAGCTGAGGGACAGCGCACAGGCCCAGAGTTCAGGCCCTACAACCGGACCCCCCCAAAAAAATGCTTTTGCTCTTTTTAGACATGCTAACTGTACAATGAGAAAGATGATTTCTCTCTCTCTCTCTTTCTCTCTCTCTCTCTCTCTCTCTCTCTCTCTCTCTCTCTCTCTCTCTCTCTGTCTCTCTGTCTCTCATACACACCTAAACACACAGACTCAGAGCAGTGCCTCTCCTGAATTTGTTGATTTCTCATCTAGGCAATGTACCAACTCAAACACTGGAGTTCCCTTGTCAGAACCAGGGGCAACCACCCAAGGGGAACAATGCTCTAATAATGCAAAACCACCCTCCCTCCCTGGTTCTCCAGGGCCAGACCCTTCCCCTTGGGAACAACCAGCCTTGACTCCCCATTCACCAAAACCCTAGGCTAGGACTCTGGGTGAAGGAGTCCCGAGACACGTGGCTCCTCAGAGCCTAGACAGAAAACAAAGCAGGGGGTTATGGTGCCTCCAGAGAGGTTCTGACCTGGGGTGGGGGCGTTGTTGGGGACTTTGATGAGGTCCTAAAGGCTATATACATGGATGGAATCCCTACTTCCAGCCTACATACTTCTGGGCGACTTGACAGATTCTTGGGGAGGACAAGGAGACCAGATGGACTGGGAGTACTAGCAGAAGCTGGCAGAACTGGGAAATGGGATCACACAGTCAGAACTGTTGACAGCTGGGGTTGGGGGTACAGGCCGATTGTATGTCTGTCAGACGGGGTGTGTTTTTCTCCCAAATACCCGCATTCTATCTTACCCCAGTGCCCTCACCTCTCTACTGGGCTCTTCTGGGAATGTCCTCAGGTGAAAGTGTGACTGAGCACAGAAGACAAGGACTCACACAGCAAGGGGGGCCTATCTTCTGTATCCTACACCTCCCTCCCCATCAAAAAGGAAAAGACCTAAGAAGGCAGGTGTGGGGTACTGCTCCCCACCTCTGACTAAAGCCACCAGGTTCCCACAAGGGAGAGAAAGGATGCAGATGCAAGGCTGTGTGGCTCCCACTGCTCCAGGCCAGGGGCTCTGTGGTGACCCCTCCTTCCCATCCCTGCAGCTCCCCTTTTCCTGGGACACTGGCCACTAAGGATGAGGGTGGGATCCCCGGGTGGACACCCACCTCCAAACACCACCCTTGGGGTGGATTTGTGGCAGAGCCAGGACAGACTGTGGGGCATGGGGGAGGTGCAGGCAGGACAGGACTTGGAGGGGAGAGGGAAGGGTCCGGGTCCCCAAGGGTGGGAAGGAAGGGTACAGTGGGGGGCAGGGTATACAGGGGGGTGATCGTGGAGTGTGGGAGCGCAGGTCGGCCACACACGTGAGCTGCTGGGAGAAGCTGTAGGCTGCGATTCGGCGTGTGGGTCGGGAGTCTGAGGACCGAGGGCCGGAACCAAATCAGGGCCACAAGCAGGTCAAGGGCGCACCAGCTCTGCCAGGTGACCACTAAAGGCTCCTCAGGTCTGAGCCAGCAGCGCCATGTTTGAAAAGCAGTGTGGGCACTTGGTGGGGCTGCACACAGCTTCTGCTCCTCCACAGGCACCACCGCAGCCTCAGTGGCATCCTAATCTGAGGCCGCTGCTAAATCAGCAGCCACTGCCTCTACCGTGCTCCCTGCACCGGGACCTCAGACTCAGGGCCACCATGCCTGGGTGCCTCCAAGGGGCTGCATGTGGCAATGTGCCTGCCATGCAGGCTCCGCATGCTTTGCGCTCCTGACCAGGACAAACACAATGGTAGGAGCAGCCTCCAGCCACTGAAGCCATTTCCACTGGTGCTTGTGCTCATGCTCGCTCTTCTCCCAGCTCTCTCTTGGCCTCACACTCCTCTCCTGGGTCACCCCGCCCCTTCTGTGCACACACCCCTGCCCCCTTGGGCCCCAGGCCATTGCTGCCACCAAAGTGCGCTCCTGGGCCCCACCCCCACTTCCCCTGGGCTCCGCCTCCCACCCCTGGCCACAATTGCAGCCCTGACTGGGCCCTGAGGCTTCTAGAAGATGGCAATTACAGCCTTACCTCAGCTCAGCACTAACCCCCAACCCTAGTACCGGCTCAGTGGATCCAATCTCACCTCAGCCTCACCCCTCCATCCCCCTCCACTCCACACACCAAGCAGGTGCATTGTGACACATGTATGTGTATTTGTGTGTGTTTGTGTGTGTGTGTGTTGGGGATAACCACCTCTCAAGGACTCAGAACATAGCACCCTTTGGAATGACTCAGCACACAGCACACTTCCAAAATCAGCACAAAGCACCCTGTGTAAATGAGTCAGCACACAGCTCCTTTTGAAGGATTCAGCATGTAGTATGCTGGGTAGAGTACTCAGCACACAGCACCGTTTGAAGGAGGGAGTCTATAGCCCACAGTGTAAAGGACTCAGTAAAGGACTTTGAAACACACAGCACATAGCACTCTTTTCCAGGGACTCATCACACTCTGTGTTGAAGCACACTGTGTAAAACACCCAGTGCACAGCTTCCTTCAATAAATTCAGCACACAGAACAATTTTGAAGGACTCAGCACATACCACACTGTGGAAGCTCTCAGCACACAGCACCATTTGAAGGACAGTACAGAGCAGGCAATGTAAAGGACTTGGCACACAGCACTCAAAATATACCTCATCCCTCTCTTCTCATAGGCTCACACATAGGCAGGACTCTTTAGGATGCATTAGCACACCAAACCTTTTGAAGGACTCAGCATACAATACGTTGTATAATGGACTCAGCACAAAGCCCCCTTTAAAAAACCCAGGATGGCCCACTCTTCTCAGGGACTCAGCACATAGCACCCTTTGGGATGACTCAGCAAACAGCACCTTTTTGAGGACTCAGCACATAACTCCCATGAGGGAAGAACCCAGTAAATAGCGCCCTGTGAAGGACTCAGCACATAGCTGTATGTCACAAGTTCAGCTGTCACTAGAATTAGGGTGCTTTCTTCAGTATCACCATTCTTCAGAAACACTGCACAAATCCTACTAGTTCACATTTAGACAAGCTGTGTTTTATGGGGGAAGTCAGCTGGGGGTCTTGAACTCAAAGCTTGGGGGCCCTGTCCCTGAACTCTTTGGTTCAATGCTAGAGCTCTACCACTTGGAGGCACAGCTCCAATTTTGTTTTTTGGGGTTGTTCTTTGACAGGTCTTATGGTGATAAGTAAGGCCAAGTTGGGGTATCTGTGGGCAAAGGCTCTTAGCTCAGCGTGGAACTGACCTATCCCTTCCCTCTGTCCCTGGAAAGATGGGCCTCCTGGAGTTCTCTTGGCCTAGGGTGGAACAGACCAGCTCTGGCATCAGCAATCAGGGTGAGCAAAAGTCAGCTTGGGCCTAGTAACTTGCCCAAATTGAACTTTAGAAGAAAATGGCATGGGATCGCATGTTCCCCGTGTGGCCACCAGGGGTCAGGAGTGGCCCACCATAGGGATTGTACTTGCGAGTTGTGTTTACTCTTGCTTCCATTGGGCACCCATCATGATTCAGAGCCACGCTGGACAGGAAAGTCATTGAGACTCTTACCTACAATTAACCATTGAAAATCAAGTGGGGCTGTGGCTCAAGTGGCACAGCACTAGTTTTGAGCAAGAAAACTCAGGGATAGAGCCTAGGCCCTGAGTTCACACACACACACACACACACACACACACACACACACACACACACACTACATGCATGCAAAATCAGAGATTTCTACACTGCAGTCTTTGGGTATTCTCTACTTTTTCCCCCACTAAGCCTGGTGGCTGCTGGCCTAGGTGTTTGGTGCATCAACATCACCTGGCATCTTCAATTTTGGGGGAACAGAATGGCTAGAAGGTCAACCTTCCCCCATCCAAGCTACTTGACTGGGTCATGGTCTATCCAGGCCCTTTGAGGCTCCTTTACAGACTCGCCAAGATTCCTTCAAAAGGCATCACATACTGGGCACTGGTGGCTCATGCCTGTCATCCTAGCTACTCAGGAAGCTGAGATCTGGAGGATCATGGTGCCAAGCCAGTCTGGGCAGGACAGTGTATGAGACATGTCGTTGAACCATCAGAAAACAAAAGTGGCACTGTGGCTCAAGTGGTAGAGAAAAAGAGATCAGGGACAATGCTCACTGCCAACAACAACAGGGAGAGGCATTGCATGCTGTCTTTGGGATTGGCATGGGCCAAATATAATTGGAATTAATTATAATTGGAATTAATCAAGTCCTCCAAGACCAAGCAGTACCTCTTTTTGTACTGTGCTCCTCCATCTCGTCTCACCCCCTGGCCTTGTCCGTTCTTTGGGTCAGCATGGGTCTGGCTGGAAGGGAGGGCTCCAAGGAAGATCCCAGAGCAATCACCACACTTCTTTCTGCCCTGCTCACCCTGCTGCTTCTGCTCTTTGCCATAGATCTTCTTCCCGGAATCCATCCATGAGGTCATCACCACCAACATAGTGGTGAATGGTGGGTCTGGCCTAACTAGGGGCAGTCAGAGGTGGAAGTAGGTCTGGGACTAGGAGCTTCCACTTTGGGCTGACTTTTATTTCATCCTGAGCCTTGCAGTGGTGGGGAGACAGTGTAGACTTCACATTGAGTCAGGTAAAATCACAATCTGGAGGACCACTTGTGTGGGGAAGGATGTGGGACTCAGGGGGCCACGGTTTTTGGTGTTCTCTTGGGACTCCCCTCTCCCTCTCATCCCTCAATGGTAGAAGAGAAACTTCAACTCAGGGTGTGGGAAGAGGGGGCGGGGGAATATTTTGGGGGGAACCAGACTTGTGTTTCATATTCATCCTAGCCCCTACTTCCTATTTATCTGAGGAATGGCCATATGGGTTTGGGAGGGGGAAAAATCATCCTACCTGAGAATGTGGCTCACTGGTAGTGTTCGCCTAGCATGCCTGAAGCTCTTGGTTCTATTCCACACAGAAAAGGCTGGAAGGGGAGGTGGGGCCAGCCTTGATCAAAAAGAGCTCAGGGACAGTGGCCAGGCCCTGAGTTCAAGCCCCAGGGTTGGAAGAACAAATCTTTCTTTGTAGACTTTTTTTTATTGCTTTGAAAACAATTTATTCTTTGTGATAAGCAAAACATAGGACTCATTCCTGGCCACCAATGGGCCATTAGATGTCCCTTGAGTTTGGGCCAACTCCCTTGAGCCTCTACCCTACCCTACCACCAGTTTAACCTTCCCGTTGCCCGGCAGATGGAGGCCTGAGAGAAAGCCACTTGGTCACCTACTTCTGGTGGCTGCCAAGGCTTTTGAGAGTCAGTATGTGACTTAGCGAGTCATCATCCGCATCAATCTACAGGAGAAAGTGAGAGAGCACTCCTCCCCTGAGCCTGGGAGCTGTGGGCAGATCTGGATGTGGGGCATCTGGGGCAGGACATACTCCTTGAGGGAGTCCACTATGGGGTCACGAACCCTGACCTCTCCTCTGGCAGTTTCCATGCTGTCTTCAAGTTACTTCTGAAGCAGTGTTGGGGAGGAGGGTGGGAGGCTGAGCTTGTGCTGGCATCTGGACACTGCTGTCTGTGCCTTCCCTGGTGAGGAGTGACAGCAGCTCTGCAACACTCTCCTCTTCTCCATCTTCTCCTGGGAAAGCCAGTGCATGCACTGGGCTTTCTCCCAACACAGCTCATTCAGGACCAACATCTGCTCTTTACACACCATGAGGGACTCCTTGATAGTATGGATGTGTGCCGAGAGCTACCTGCATCAATGGTGGAGCTCACCTGCTGGACTCTGGAAGTACGCCTCACCAGGCAGATCATGGACGAAGCAGATTTTCTTCTCAGATGCCCTTGTCCCGCTTCCCATCCCCACGCATGCTGTGGTGGCAGCTCATGGGTTTGAGGGCTTGTGGCTGCAGCTCAGTCTGGCACTGAGCTGCTGGGTTGGCCAGGGGATGCCTGCAGCTGGCCCGCCATTCTTGTGGCAGGAGTTTCCCCCTGTGCATCTCATCCTCCAAGAGCACTCCCAGAGCCATGTCACTCTTGGTCTGGGGGACATCTCCATCCTCTGTAATGGTCACATGGGGGAGGGGAGATTTGCCTCCTTATCTTTTACTTCTCCAGGGCTCATGCCTTCCCCTTCCCCAGGGAAAGCCAGGAAGCTCAGCTGGACCTGCAGGCACTCCTCATGTGATCTGGTGGCATCCAGGCACTTGACAGTGTCCTGCCACTTTGGGGACATCACCTGGTCCCTCCAGTTTGTTAAGCCCTGCACTTTCTTCAGCTGCTCCAGCAGCTGGGTCTGCCTCACTAACTGCTGCTGTAAGGCCTCCTTCTTAGAGCACAGTTGCTCATTGGAGACAGTGTTCCATTCACAGGAGACTCAGAACTCCTGCACTGGCCCAGGGACTGCTCCTGCTGCTCCTGAGTCACTTGGCTCTCTCTCTCTCAGCCACCACTATCCATTTCTCTATCTTCTTCTCTGAACAGTCCTACTGTTCCCGCAGATGTTTCTTCATCTGCTGCTCTGAGTCCAGGATGCTGGCAAGCTCCTCCTTCTCACTGCTCACCCTGTGGAGAGCGTCCCACAGCATGGCCAGCTTTTCCTTCGGTTGTCCATCCCACACACATGCTCATCGTAGGGTCTCAGGGATCTCCTGCCGATCCTAGGCTTTCTCCTCCAGTCTCTGCAGTTGCTCCTGCTGCTCCACGTTCTCAAGATGGAGACTGGCTTTCCTGGACCTGGATGTGAAGTTGTTCCTCCAGGTTTTTCAATTCCATCTTCTTGCTGTCGGCCTGAGCTTGCAGCTGCCGCTTGGCCTGAGATGGTCCTGAGGGGGGCCGTGGCTTTACCAGCTTCCTTCTTAGTTCCCACAGCTCATTCCCTAGGTCCAACACATGCCTTGCCCCTCATTCCTTCTCCTCTGTCAGTTGGTTCAGCCATTGGGTCAGCTGCCATGCCTCCTCTTTCCATGCGGACCTCTCAATGCTCACGTCCTCCTTTAAGGTGTCTCTCTCCAGATTCGTTGTTGTCACCAGCCAGCTCAGGTTGTCCAGTAGTCTCTTCAGTACCTCACGCCCCTCCAGGGCTTGTTGGAACTTGCATATTCTCTTCTTCATGTTGCTCCTCTGTATCCACAGCACTTCCAGCTTCTCCTGCAACTCTGTGTTCACTTGATCCAGGTCATTTAAGCTTCTGGTATTTTCCTCCAACTGAAGGGTCACATCATTCAACTGTTCGAAGAACATTTTGGTCCCCTTCTTTGCAGCAGTGACCACAGAAGCTGCTATCTCCAGCTCTGCCACGCACCACTCTGTAGCTTGCAGGCAGCTGGTGAGAGCTTCGTGCTCCCTTTCTCTGTCATCAGTGGCCTGCTGCACTTGGGCCAGTGCACATTGTAAATCGCTTTCTGCTGAAACCAACCGCTGTATGGGTGCCTTGTGGATCTCTACCTCCATTTTTGGTGCTGCATTTATCTAGGCTATCTTCTCCCTCTCTTACTCCCATTGATCCTGCAGGTCTGTCTTTCCCAGCTTCAGTGATTGGATTTTGGCACAGAGTGCCTGGTTTCTACTTTTCTGTGGTCCAGGGTGGGCACCACATGCAGAGAGCAGCTCTGTGGATCCTTGGTGGGATTGGGACCCTTGACATCTGGACCCTGGTGGCTGTGACTGTGTCCAAAGGCAAGGTAGGCCCACGGTTGGCATCACCTTTGGCCGGACTCTTCATTCAATCCACCTCCCCAGTGGTGTTTGTCTTGGGGGTCCCTCTCTTTTTCGTGTTCTTTGTTTTCTTGAATGTTTCAGGTCTGTCGGGAGGATACTGCTGGTGTTCTTGGGGCAGTTTCTTGCCCACAGTTCTCTCATTGAGTCTTATTGTTTCAGACATCTGAGCGCTGGGACGGGAAAGTTGGGCTGGCCACATTCTCAGGCTCTAGGAAATCCTCTATTCTCCCACTCACCGACTAGGACATCATTTCCTACTCTACCTCAAAGTCACCTGGAGTCTCTTGCTCACCACTCAGCCACCTCTACCTTCCTCAACCGCTGGTTGTGGTGTCAACCAACAGAGGGAATCCAGGTGTAACTGGGAAGCATGGAATATGTGTGTGGCCACTATTCTTGTATCCCATTGGTCAAAAAGAACCATGAAAGAATGGGGGTGTGCTCGGAATACTGGGATGCAGACAGAATGGATGGAGTCAAGATGACAGCAGCCCCTTTGCCAGTTGGGGACAAGAGGGAGACCTGCTTTAGCCAGATGGCTGCACAGATTGTGTGTATGTGTGTTTGTTGCCAGTCCTGGAACTTGAACTCAGGATCTGGGCACAGTCCATGAGCTGTTCTTGCTCAAGATTAGCCCTCTACCACTGGAGCCACACAGCTCTACTTCTGGCTTTGTTCGCATTGAGGTTAGACAGGGGTCTCAAGGACTTTCCTTCCTAGGGTGACTTTGACCATAATCCTTCTATCACAGCCTTGTAAGTATCAAGGAGAACTGGTGAGAGCCACTAGTGCCTGGCTAATCATTGTTCGGGATTATGGCTTCCCCAGTAGCCTGCATGCCTTCAGCAATGTAAGGTGAAGTAGCCTTTGGAGCCGGAACACTCAGAACCAGATGGCCATGGTGCAAAAGAAGAAAATGTAAAAACGCCATCCTGCCACTTTTTTCTATGCACCCCCTGCCATGCACAAAGCCTGAAGTTCTAGGATCCCAGGATAGGCTGTGTTACCAGCGGCTGCACCCCAGCCTATGGTGATGAAAGCTGAGGCACGGTTGCCATGACCTGAGTTCAAGACCGTGTTTGGCAAAAAAGCAGAAAAAAAAATAGCTCCCTGGCTTGCAATTCATGCCGTTTCTCCTACCTTTGAATTTGAACATAAGCCCTGGGTAACTCTGAAGCACTGTGGACGAAGAGGAAGCTCACCATGCTTGAAGATAAGAAAGTAAGGCCTGGTCCCTAGGCCTGAATTCAAGTACCCACCCCGGAAACATTCTATTTATATATATTGTAAAGATAGGATTTGTACTTACATATAGATGGTCAGTCCATATCCTATTTGTTGTGGTTATTTATTGTATTTCTGTTTCATTCATTTATTTTCCATTTTTTTTATTGTGAAAATACTGTACAGATGGGTTACAATTACATGGGCAAGATAATAAGTATATTTCTTATCAAGCATTGTAGCCTCCTCCTTTGTTTCCCCATCCAATGCCTTCCCATCCTCCTATCAGCCCTCCCCACAATCCTCCCTGCTCCACTCACCCCCCCTCCGCCCCCCCCAGCACTAAAGTTTAAAGTTAGTTTTTGACATAACGACTTGTACATCTCATTGTTGCAATGAGTCCACCTGTATCCCTATTAAACGATTTGTTTTTCCCCTTCCCCTCCACAAATTATACCTACATCAAATACAGTGAAAGCAAGGGTTATACTGTAGGGGAGGGACATACAAAGCAACAAAGAAATAATCTTAT